CCACTCACCTCAGCCTCCCAAGGCGCGGGATTACAGGCTGAGCCACTGAGCCCGGCTTTACTGGAAGTTTTTTATTTGTAGGGATGCTTGGAGCCTGGTTTTAAGTTCCTCCAAAGAGGATATGTTATGTTGCTATCAGTAGCCTGGAAATTCTTCCAATTTGGAGCTGCATTAAAAAAAAACAAAACTTTTCTCATAGAAACTTTCATCTATATACTAAAGTAGAGAGAATGCTATAATAATCCTCCCTAGACCCTTCACTCAGCTCTAAAAATTATGAAGTCATGACCAGTCCTGTTTCATCTATACCTCTACTCATCCATCTATCCACCTACTCCAGATAAAAGAATAAAGCAGAATTCAGACATCCTATCATTTACCTGTACGTTTTTCAGCATTTTTCTCTAAAAGAGTTCTTTAAAAAAAAAAAGCAATACCATTTTCACACTAAAAACTTCTCATATTATCCTTAATATTATCAATATCAAGTAATTGTTTAAATGTTCCCAATTATCTCATAATTTTACTTATCTATTTTACAAATTGCTAATTTGGTCAAGATCTAAATACACTGTAATTGGTTGCTATTCCTCTTACATAATTTTTAATTCTTTTGTTTTGTTTTGTTTTGAGTTGGGGTCTCATTCTGTCACCCAAGCTGGAGTACAGTTCACCACAGTCTCGATCTCCTGGTTTCAGGCGATCCTCTTGCCTCAGTCATCCAAGCAGCTGGGATAACTCAGACACATGCTACCATGCCCAGCTAATTTTTTTTATTTTTGGTAGAAATGAGGTTTTGCTGTGGTGCCCAGGCTGGTCTCAAACTCCTGGCTCAAGCAATTCTCCTACCTCGGTTTCCCAAAGTGCTGGAATTACAGGCATGAGCCACTGTGCCTGACCAAGTATTTCTTTTTTTTTTTTTGAGTTGAAGTCTCACTCTGTCATCCAGACTGGAGTGCAGTGGCCGCTCCCAGCCATTGCAACCTCGACCTGCTGGGCTCTGGTGATCCTTCCGCCTCAGCCTTCCAAGTAGCTGGAACTACAGGTGCACACTACCATGCCCGGCTAATTTTTTATTTATTGTAGAGATGAGGTCTCATCAAGTTGCCCAGGTGGGTCTCGAACCCACAGGTTCAGGCAATCCACTCACCTCGGCCTCCCAAAGTGCTGGGATTACAGGCTGAGGCACCGAGCCCGGCCTGACCAAGTATTTTTAATCTATGGGTTTCATTCCATCTCTCTTTTTTCTCTTGAAACTTATCTGATAAGAAAATTCAGTAGTTTGCCCACAGTTTCCTGTAGTCTGGCCTTTGCTGATTGCAAGTTTATTATATCATTTAACATAGCCTCTGTCCTTAATAACTCCTTTAAATTAGAAGTCAGAGCCAGGCACAGGGGCTCGCACCTGTAATTCCAGCACTTTGGGAGGCTGAGGAAGGAGGATCACTTGAATCCAGGAGTTCCAGATCAGCCTAGGCAACATAAGGAGACTTCATATCTATAAAAAATTTAAAAATTAGACAGGCATGGTGGTGTGTATCTCTAGTCCCAGCTACTTGCCAGGCTGAGGAAGAAGGATTGCCTGAGCCCAAGAGGTTGAGGCTGCAGTGATCTCTAATGGTTTTTACTGCACTCTAGCCTGGGCAACAGAGCAAGACTGTGCTTCCAAAAAAAACAGAAGTCAGATTTAGAAGAAATTTGATCAAATTCAGATTTGATTTTCTATGAAGACTACTTCATGTGTGGTCTTGTACTTTTTTTAGGAGGCATGTCAGACTTAGTTTCCCTAGGAAACATACTATGATTTGTAGGCATTTTTCTCCCTTCCACTCAAAGCAAAATAATAACTTCTTTTGAGTAGAAAATTTTAATTTGTCATTCTCTCTTTCATGGACCCTAAGCTTTGTCTCCTGTCCCCTACCTTACAAAGCCTATTGAAACCAAAATCTCACAGCCACTAGGAAATGGCAAATGTCCCTAAGACAGCTATCAGTTTCAGTATTCTGTATCTCAGGATTTGAGCTTTCCTTTATATTTGGCTTTAGAATTCCTCTCATTTTCTTGCAAGGCCACCCACAAAGATTATAACTTTACTCATTTCCCTTGCAGTTACACAAGCAGTAGCCCAAAACTTTCTTCTTGGCTGAATTAAGCATTTAAGAAAATGTTTAAATATTTAATCCAGCATCTACAGGTATTTTGAACCAAGAATATTTCTTGGGAGATGCAAAGTGTTATTTGATAGATTTAGAAGTCTCCCAATTATGTTTTACTTTGTTTTGTTTCTTACTGTTTAAATTGTAATTACAAAGATATTCACTGAAAGAAAAATCAAACAAAATAAATACAAAACATTTTTTTTAAATCTCCTTGCTCATTTATTTATTCATTTATTTATCTTTGAGCTGGAGTTTCATGATGTCGCCCAGGCTGGAATGTACTGGCATGATCACAGCTAACTGTAGCCTCAATCTCCTGGACTCAGACAATTCTTCTGCTC